AAGGGTTCCAGAGGAGATCTGGAAAATTACAGGCCAGTCAGTCTGACTTCGATACCGGGTAAGTTGGTGGAAACTATTATTAAGGAAAGAATTAATAGGCACACAGATGAACAAAAACTATTGAGGCAGACTCAGCATGGGTTCTGTAAGGGAAGATCTTGTCTCACTAACCTGTTAGTGTTTTTTGAGGGAGTGAACAAACATGTGGACAAGGGGAACCCAATAGATGTTGTTTACCTTGACTTCCAGAAAGCTTTTGATAAAGGAGAATGACATTGGAGACTCTTCTGCCATGCTAGGATGTAGATAAGGTGCCGTATATCTGTCAGGGTTGCCATAGTGACCTAGGGGCTGGATGATGACGTATGCATGAGATGTGTGGTGTTATTTGTCTTACCTATAACTGAGAATTTTTCATGCTTTTTCTCAGTTCTGACACAGAGCATGTTTCCGAAAGTAAGCATATCTCAATAAACTACCACTGCTTAAGTGTGTTGTGGAGAGTGTCTTAACTGGGAGACCTGACAAAGGGTGGCGGTCATGAACATTCCACAAACTTTAGTGCTGGCTCATGAAGTAAAGTTCATCACAAATTTCGGCCAGTTCATGGTTCGCAAAGCGATGTTTGTGGAAGGGTGGCTGGCGTGAACATTCCACAAACTTTGGTGCTGTTTGTGGCGGTTTGTGAATGGATACATTTCCAGACACACTGTCTCCACTCAATAAAATTGTTTACAAAACTCCAAAGCAACAGGGCAGTGGAACTCTCCAGTCTTGGAAGCACCCATAGGAGCCCTCCAAAGCTTAATAGCCATTGCTGGTTGCCAATAACAGAGTGCCCATTCTGCTCTATAGGATCAGAAAGCTATATATCAGCTCAGCTCCACACCCACTCTTCTGTTGGCAGTTCGACAGAGAGGCAGAGAACTTGTTAAAAGTAGAATAGCAGAGCACATTAATTTATTCCCTCCGGATTCTGAACTTCTGTGGCCTGCTGGGGTTTGGGTATTAGGTAGACTCTGGGCTCTCAGCCTGCCCATCTCTGCTCATGCTGAACAGAGGGGCTGAGCTACTGGGTGCCTTGGCTTCTCACCTGCTGGGGTTTAAGTTTAAGCAGCAACAAGATTGGAGAAGGTGGGGGGAACAGCTGCTTTCTGGCAATGGGCTGGAAGGGGCCATGGATGGGTGTACTCAAAGCAGGAGCAGCAACAAGGAGTTGGGATGTGGAAGGGGAGGATGCTTCCCCACCACCCTCTTAATCATTGCTGTCAAGAGGAGGAAAGACTGTTAGCAACTGCTTGTGTTTCTGCCCAGTGCTAACAACTCTTTTGCCTCTGTGGAAGGGGAACATGCTTCCCCAAACATGTTCAGAATCACTGCTGTCAGAGTCCTTCTCTCCAAAGAGTGTTAACAACTCCTGGTGTCTCTGGGCAGCTCTAACAACTCTTTTGCCTCTGTGGAGAGCCCAAGGAAGAGATCAGGGGAAGGAGGCTCAGAGACCCCTGGTGATGCCCTACTAGGGCCGGACTCCAGTGGCCTGGCAGGATGGGTTTTGTGCCTGGGGATGGGTGTCTGTGGTACGCAGGGGGTGGAGAACTTCTTTCCCCCATGACAAGCACCGTTTGCACCCACTTTCACCTTCCCTGCAGACAGAGGTGTTCAGGAATTTGAAGTGAGCAGAGACTGGATTTTTAAACTGGGAGCAATCCTGAGAGCTTGCTTCAAAAGCCACTCCTCTGCTTCCCCTGCTCATGTGATGTGGCTGGGGTCAGTGTTCCCTCTAAGCTGAGTTAGTGTGAGCTAGCTCACAGTTTTTTAGTCTCCGGCTCACACATTTTTGCCTTAGCTCAGGAAGGATGGCTTCTGAGCAAACTAATTTATGCAATAGCCAAGTCGTTCGCTCACAGCTTTAATGCCAGTAGCTCACCAAGTCAGATTTCTGCTCACAAGACTCCACAGCTTAGAGGGAACATTGGCTGGGGTGCCTGCCAAGCTGTCCTGGGGTTACTTTGTGGAGCCCCTGTTGGAACTCTGGGGGATGTCTGCCTTTCTGCCCTTCAGAACCTGCCTTTGGAGACTTGGGGGGCTGTGAGCATAGGAGGGATGCTTGCCTTGCTTTCAGTGTCCAGCTGGAGGGGGGGGTCTGCCTAGGTGAAGTTTCCCTGTGTGTTTGCTGTCACTAGCTTGTTCCTGAGCTGTTCCTAGACTCCTGGCTGTAACTGCAGCTGTCTTTTTCAGAGACAGCACTGTGGAGACCTTTTTGAGGGGACTTTCACTGGGATCTAAGAAATGTAATTCCCCCTCAACATGAAGAATTTGACCTAAGAAATGTAATCCACCCCCAACTTGGAGAGATTGTAGAGAAGCAGGCAGCAGAGTGAGGTTTTCTGTGTATTTGGTATATGTAGCTTACATTCTGTGCACTTTTAAACCTGTGCTGGACATTTTTCCTGGGGGCACCTTCTTTGGGAGGCCCTAACTCACATCCCCTACATTCAATTTGCACAACACTTGGAGGACATGTAGAAGTTCCCTATGAGTTTGATACCTCTAGCTTGCACAAGCTCTGTTCTAAACACTCGTGAACCTCCTGAACCTGTGCCCATCATTTCAGCCATTTCCCCAGAAAGTGCTTTCCCGGGGGCACCTTCTTTGGGGAGTTGTAACTTAGACCCCTTAAGTCCAATACTCCCCAAATTCGGAGGGCTGCTAAAGGAGAGTCAGCCAGAGATTCCCTGTGGGTTTGGTGTGTCTAGTACACTGGAGGGGGGAATATTCTACTGCATCACAAATCCCATGAACCAAACTGGTTCATTTAGCCCTTGAAAGTTTTTGATGGTCTGTGGTTTGCGAGCTGGGCATGCCACAAGCCACAACCCAAACCATGTTTTCCTGGTTCATGCCCATCCCTAGTCACTTCAGTCAGTTTTGGGAAGAGGGATGGAAAATGATAAAAAGTCTGGAATTTAGGAATGCAAAAAAGATTAATGTTGGCAAAGTTCAGGTTATCCGGCACAAAAAATCTGGGTCCCATCCAAAATCCAATATTCAGCCTGTCTCCGCTTCAGACTTTGTCTCATCACTAAGCACAAACATATCAGATAGAGAATGCCAACTCCACTTCTTTTGCAGAAACACAAAGCAAACCATTCCCCTGTAGTCACTTTTAGGAGAAATCCTACGTAGGTCTACTTAGAAGTAATTTTATTCAGTGGGGCTTACCCCCAGGAAAATGTTTTTAGGATTGCAGCTTTTGGCTTTGAAACATCTGTATCTTCAGTTTAAAGTGATTATATTAATATTTAATTTCACGTACTGATCCCTCAAAAAATTGTTGCAGTCTGCTGTCATATTCTATTGTTTAACTATGTATATTACTTGGCTACCTTTGGGCAATACATTCCTCAGATTACCACATCTGATCATAATTTTAAAATGTAGAAATAAGAAATGCCATTATTCATTTCAGTAGCCTGTTCATATCCAATAAGGGTTCTGACTCAAGGATTCTGATTTCTCATACCGTTCAATGGCAGGGACAGCTCTGTGCACAAAGGAATACATACTCAGAGTTATCACAAAACATCTCAGACTAAAAGAAAAAAGGAAGGCAACAACATGCAATACAAAGCATTTTATAAAAAGCAACCTTAAAGTTGCTTTTCTTAAACAATTTGGAGATTAAGGCAGGTTAATTCAGGGTTTCGGGATGGTAAGAACTAGAGCTTATCTAGTAACATTCTTAGGAAGCCATGTGTCCTATATTTTAACCACGTTTTCAAGAAACAGGGGCCGAGTTCAGACTGGCATTTTGCCCCGATATAGGCACATTTCAGAAACATTCCACAACCGGATTAAAGGGGCCATTCACACAGGCACATCTGTCAGCCGTTCCCCACCCATACCCAACCCGTCTTGTAACGCTTCATTCCCGAGTTTAAAATATACCTGGTGAAAGTGGTAGCAAACCCTGGAAAGTGCGATTATCTCACGTCCATCCCGCACCAACAAAGTGTGAATGCCAAAAGCCAAGTTTTTCTTATGCGCTTAAGTGGCTTTGCACATAAGCGCATAGCTCTAGATTGCCAAAAAGAAAGCCGCGTCTTACAGCCGTGCCTCCAGGCCAACAGTGTGAACGCTCCCTTGGGCCTCCTCCCGGTATGCTCCCGCATCAGTCGCTGCAGTGTGAATGGGAAAACCCGGAATAATTTGTTCCAGCTCTTTTTTGCCAAGACTCCCTCCCGCTTCAAACTGCCAGTCTGAACTCAGCCAGGAATTGGGAAACAACAAAATTGCACAAGAAGAGCAAACATTTTACTATGAACCAAGGGTTACAAAAGTTCCTATTAAAACATGATGATAAATGTTACCACAGGAGTCTTATTTGCTGGGAAATTGAAAGATTTGTTTCTGCACTATTTTTACTTATAAAGGATTCTAAGGAAACAATCCAAACACAAATATAAAATTTCTCCTTCCCCCCACCAAAAAAGGGAAAAAATAGAAACATTACTGGAATGAAGAGTTACCTCAGATTTTGTCTTTAAATTAATCATTTGAAAACAGCAAAGTTTCCAGAAGAGATGGCTAATATCCCAGATTACTGGAAGAAATGATAGACAATATTTTGAAAAACAGCTGACCTTAACTCCTTATTAGCAGCAAGAGACTGGAATTGAGAAAATGTTAAACAGAACTGCTATGGGTGATGGCTAACTACAACCGAGAGGGAACAAAACCATTTTTTGCTCAGTAAGGAACCAACAGTATTTGGGATTTCTGTGGTTGTGCAAACCAATTTTTTGTTGCATAAATGATAGAATTGGCTGAAAAGTGAGATTTTTGATCATTTATTTAAAATGTGCCTGGTGACCTGACTTTTATTTTCTAATATAATAAATTTATTAATTTACACAAAGCCCTAGTAGACATCCTTTCATCTTCCACAACAATTGTAAGAAATACAAATATGCTTTGATCATGTTAAATATACCACATACTATTTTCCTGTCATAGGATTCTCCGCTGCTGTATGTTGTAGCTAGCGTAGATGCACATTCTTCTAGATACCAAGGTTTTCTCCCACTTTCAGCTGTGCTGCTGATGGAGATAGTGTAGATGCTATTGGTGTAGCCATCACAGGAACAATGATCCTTACTCCTTCCACCATTTCCAGAAGCCCAAACATATATGGAACCCAAGTTGCCTCGGCCCTATTTAAAATAAGTAAGGGAAAAGTAATTAATAGTTAGCTTGTAAGTGTATAAGACTACCTTCCTTACCTCTTCTCTGTTGTCATGAAATAAATACAACATAAAGCAGTCAAATTTAAGGATATCTATTTTTTCAATGGGAGTGTTAAAGGATATTTTAATGTACTTAACACTAGTGAGTCATGTTCATATTTAAGAAAAGTTTTCTATCAGATTTTTTTGTTCACATCAAAAAAGTCAGAGTCTAAAAACTAATAGTGGTTTTCTAGGTAAGTTCATATTGTTCCTACATATATAGGGCTACAAGTTTCCACATGGTTAGCTAGAGATCTCCCAGAATTACAATGGCCCCCAGGTTCAGTCCCCCTGGAGAAAATGGCTTCTTTGGAAAATAGACTCTGTGGCATTATACCCCACTGAGGTCCCTCCCCTGCTCAAACGCTCAAACGCTCCCCTCCCCAGGCTCTACTCTCAAAATCTCCAGGAATTTCCTAACCCAGAGCTGGCAACCCTACACATGTAGCCCAATCCAAGTTACCAACTATTCCAAAGGCTCAGTTTTTCACCACAACTGACAGCCAATAAAATTAGCCTCCCCAATGTGCTGACTGTTCCCACATACTACAGAACAGTTAGGTTCTTTTCACCTCTCTGCTGTTAGTATCTCTGGGCTACTATTTATGGCTGGAAAAAAGAGCATGAGAACATCATTAATAAATAAAAATTCATCCTTTCCTCCTTCATCACAATCAGTGGTATTCTACAGACTGATAGCTACTTTAATCCCTGTGAGCTTCACTGAATTTATACACTATTTCCACATATGGACATTGGGCTAAATATATTTGTGTAATGACACCTTTACATTTTCAATTATTTGATGGGTGAGAATGAAGAAGAAACAAAGTTCATCTTAGAAAAGAATTTAACCTCATAAATCAGAACTGTTACTCAGGTTATAAGAATTCTTACTATTTCATTTAAAAGTGTGCCCAGTGCCGCTTGGTTCGAAAGCGTAAGCAAGTAGATAAATTGGGTACCTGCCCCTAGGTGGCAGGGGGCACCCTCCCCCGTGTGGGCGGTGTGCAGCAGGACCATCGGCAGCGGCGGATGGCGGTGGCGATGGCAGAGCGATCAGCGAGTGACAAGCCCTGGCGACCTAGTGACCTAGTGACGCTGAGCGGAGGAATCCGGGTGGAAACGGAATCGCGGAGGCGTGGTGACGTGACAGCGCAGCACGGCAGAGCCAGAAAGGACATGAGCCGGAGCTGCGGCTGGCACGGGGCCACACAGCGAGATGAGATCCGCCGGAGAAAGTCACTGGAGTAAGACCCGATCTAAGGCGTCAGGAGGCAGAACACCGGGAACACCGAAAGAATAAGAGCCGCACTACAACAACAGAGAGCCCTGCTGCCTGGGTGCCGGTAGGTCGTCACTCCCCCAGATAGAATGTGGCCCTAGATAGGTATTAAAGTTATATGTAAACCGCTCAGAGACCCTTTGGAATTGGAGCGGTATATAAACTGAAAGTAATAATAAATAAATAAATAAATGGAATACCACTTCATATCAAATATTGTTCAAAAGTATTTCAGCTATCACTGCCTACAAAGGCTGTCTCTAAGTCATATAGTTGTGTGTTTAAAATTGGATAATGGTACATTTTAGTCTTAAATAAGTTAATAATTATGCATGTGTGAAAACAATAATATATTTGGAATCCAAACAAAATCATATCTTATATTCTTGATTATATTATAGTCATGATCCAGTCTTCCATACCTAACATCTGGAAAACCTTGACCTGGATAGCCCAACCTAGCCCAGTCTCATCAGATCTCAGACGGTAAGCAGGGTCAGCCCTGGCTACTATTTGGATGTGAGACCTCCAAGGAATACCAGGGTCATGATGCAGAGACAGGCAATGGCAAACCACCTCTGAACATCTCTCACTTTAAAAGCCCCATGGGGTCACCATAAGTTAGCTATGACTTGACAGCACTTTCCAGCACTATCTGGAAAATACTGCAATCTTCTAAATATATTTTACAGTCCTTTTCTGCCGATGATATTCAGTCTCATAAGCAACAGTTCCCAGTTCACATAACCTAGCCCTGCCCGTTTCCTAGCATAAAATATTGCAACAGAATACAATAAGACATACACTTATTTATGCACCCAGTTGATCTAAAGATGGTCTTCTGCATAAAGTGACTTATGATCAGGGAATGGCAGTATAACCTCAAAAGTATAAGGGAAGTGTAGCTAAAATACAACCTATATGTCTCAGAATCTTATTCCTGCCTCTTTCCCATTGCCATCCTTCAGAACAGGTCTGGAAAGGAATATCCAAAACCAGTCAAGTGAGCAAGAGGGAAATATTTGGCAAATGGGATGTAGCCTGACTGTTCCTCATTTATTATATTGGTCTAGAAGAAACACTATTAACTGTACAATGCTGGAAGACAGATTGTACCTTCCTCTTCCTACAGGCACTGAAATCTCCTGCGCAGGCATTTTTTCCCTTGGCTTACCTACACCTCAAGATACAAGCCCACAGAATCTGTTCTTGAAGAGAAAGGAGGTCTTCTGAGCTTTCTCACCCCCTCCACTCTCCCCAGAGGCATCCCATTTAGTGTGCCATCCTAAGGACACTTTACTGGGAATAAGCCCCAGTGACTAGACCTGCTTAGGATGGCACTGTTAGGCCCTGTTCACACGAGGCGTTTTGGGCCGGGAGAGGGACAGATCGGGGCCGCATCAAACGGGCACGATAACACAGCAACATCTGGCAATCGTGCCGTGGCCGTTCCCGATCCGTCCCAACCGCCCAAAACGTGCATCAAAAAAGAACCACCTACCTGGGTGGTTCAAGTGAATGGGCCACGGCAAATGCGGCCGTGGGATCGCCGGCGCGTCTTTTCGCCGGCGCATCCCCTGCCCCCTGCTGTACTGCACATGCTCGAGCATGCGCAGTTCTGCAGTCTCCCCCTCCCACTCGGCTCTTCCTCCCCGGCATCTGATCGTGCCGGGGAGCAACGGCGCGCGGCTAACGGGATCCGTGGGATCCCGCCACGGCGTTTCTTTTTTGGCGTGGCTTTTAAAAGCCGCGCTTTGCCCCATGTTTTCCCTGCCGTGTGGCAGGGGCCTTAGATACTTATACAAAGGACCCACTGAATTGTTAACCTGACCCTCTTTGAAGTGCAGTGATCATCCCAAAAGTGGTGCTTTAATATGCCAGCATGCTGTTGTTGCCCTGACCTGGATGGCCCTGACTAGCCCGATCTTGTCAGAGCCTCTGAAGCTAAGCAGGGTCAGCCCTGATTGACACTTGGATGGGAGACTACTGTTGTGTTCACTGACCGCCACCGGAGGTCAGCGCATATACCCGAACCTCAGTCGGGGAAGACAATGGGGACTAGGATCCTAGTCCCTCCACTGGGGAACCAATGGGAGCCATGGCGGGAGATTCAAACCCACCAATGGTGACCAAGGGGTGGTCCCCAGGTGTGTATATAGTTGGCCTGCCGGCCGTTTGTATGCATGTCTTGTTGTGTGCCTAATAAAGCGTGCTATGCACCACGTCGTTGTCTGTTGTCGATCCATGCGGCTTCCCACTACACAATAGTGGCGATGAAGGTGGGATCTAGCCGCATCTGAGCCGGGCTGTCGCGAGGAACCAGGAGGACGCGAAGCAGCCGATCCGATGAGTGAACCATCGAACAACTCGACCGCTCCTCCCGCACCCCCTCCGACGCGCACAATGGCTACCGCTCCCGGGCTAGGGCTGCTTCCACCCTTCGACACAGCCCGCCCGCAAGACTGGGCCTCCTGGGTCCAGGGCGCCGAGTCCGCGCTAGAATTCT